AGCCAGTGGAAGCACAGGAAATTAAACTGGAACCCTCTAATCTCATGAAAGCTCTCTCCAAGTCACTTGGGGATGGCACTTATGAATTTTTCATTGTGGCTCTGTGGCGGGGTTGTCAATCAAAGATCAGCTGAGAACCTTTCCCAAGAAAGCTTGCTGCAAGGACACAAGTAAACATCGCATCAGACAGTTCTCTCTACCTGAAGAAAGTGAATACTGGAAGCAGACCAGATGTTTGGAGAAGACACTGGCACTACAGAGCATTACCAAAGGCTGTGTTCTGTAATGGTTCTCCATTACATGGTCATTTTGTAATAATGTCAGCATCATACAAAAGTGCCTTTCTGGTAGCAATTGCACAGATAATTGAAATCCTCACCATACTTTGTAATCAAACTCCCTTTGAAAGCCAATGGGTTCTTCTCAAAAGCACAATCATCTCTAAAATGTCTGTATTTTTCCAGCATATACTTTTTATTTCACCCATTTTGCGGTTCTTAAAGATATGATTGAAGGAAATTGATTTGCAAGACCTCCCAGATCTTAAATCAAGCAACTGTTGATCCTTTCGGGTGCTGATATGCTGACATCTTCCAGTGATACACTAAAGGTGCCAACTCTATATGCAATTACCTGGGATTAAGTCTCACTGAGCACAGTAAAACTTATCACAGAATCATAATACTGTAGTTGGAAGGGACCCCAATGGTCATTTAGTCCAACCCCCTGCAATGCAGGAATCTCAACTGAAGCATCCATGACAGATGGCCATCCAACCTCTGCTTAAAAACTCCCAGTGTTTGTATCCTTATGTATAGGATTGTCCTGGAATTTTTATTTTTAACGATAGAGATGTTTAGTTTGAGTCCATTATATTGTATGTAAATGATATCCAGAATGGAACTGTGAGTAGGACCTTGCTGAATGCAAATGTCTAAAATGAATTATTCTTGCACACTAACTCCAGTGGATGCATTTATTGTTAAAGGAACAGGAAAGGCTTGCTTATGTGTAGGAACTCAATATTCTGGATCGAATTTCAACTCTACTACCACATTTGGGGTGCTTGCTATCTTCTACATGGCATTTTCTTCAAACACTTTATGAAAATCTCTTCAATTTACTTCAGCATGGCTTTTACCTGACCCGATACCTGAAGTTCTGACTCAGCAGATCTTAATCACTGTTGAAATTTGGTTGTTTTTGGCTTATAAGATTCAGAGGGCAGCAAAAATCTCTTTTTAAGAGAATAATGTAAATGCTTTACATTTTGCAACCTCTGACTCAGATAAAATTCTCTTAGCATTAGCTTGGCATTATGTGGCTCTTCATACATAGCAGAGGTAAAATGATGTTTCATTGCACCCTGATAGTTTCTGAAATTATTCAGAGTCTTTCCACTGACCTTTGACTGAACAGAACACATCAATAATGGTAATTGACCATGGAGGTTAGAAATCCATTCAATATTTGATTATCAGGAATTCTTATTTACTGCTGATTGCCATCTATTTGTCTCCAAAAGGGAAGCTGCCTAGACCTATGGAAATTCTCACCTTGCATACTGATGAAGGATGACTGCTAATTCAGCTGTAGGGGCTTTTCAAAGCTGAAAAGGAGACATTCCTTTTAAATAAAATTAGGCCATTAAGATGATGGTACCTGACACTTACCTAGGAATTACTCTCATTGAAGTCAGTGGGACTTGCTTCTGAGTAGAAATGCCTGGAAGTGCACTGTAAAGATGCTACCTTTAAGTCCATTGTGTACAACGTAGGGCTTGTCCCCACCAGTTTACTGTGTGTCTACAGGTAAACAACTGCACTCCCATTTAATAGGCACAGTCCACATGACGTCACCCTCAAACAACACCAGACTTGATTCTTTCCCCCTGTATTTGGGGCAGCGGTGGAGCAAGCCGATCATGAGCCTGGGGCGACGTGCGTGCCCTGCACCCAGAGGCGGGGGGAACTGGGGCAGGATGCTCCACAGGGCCTCCAGGGAGTCTGCCTGCCTCCTTCCACTCAGCTGCCCTACAGCTAAGGAGGAGGCGGCGGGCAGTTTGGGGCAGCACAGATCCTGTGGGCGCCCAAGCCACCGCATCACTCCCAGGAGAGACGCATGACTTGGGCGCGCTGCAGACCCCACAGTGAGTGCTGCCCGGCATTTTGTCACCCCCCTCAGTGGTGACACCCGGGGAGGCCCACCCCCACCGCACCCCCTTCCTTTACCCCTGTACAGGGATAATCTGATAAATTGGGGGGGGGGGTTGCTCCAAACTGCTCCACTCAGGGTTGCAGATACCAGTAACTTGTTTCAGTGTTTTTGAGTGGGTGGCTCAATTGTCACTTTCTGTTACCCTAATTTCCATGCCCACTACTTCCTCAAAGCTTTCATTTATTTTCCAGTATGCTCCTGAACAGAGGATTTTTATTTTTTGCTTTTGATTCCTCAAATTGGCCCAAACCAGAAAACTGTAGAATCAAACCACACAGAGACACAAAGCAGATATATTCTGCAGCGATCTGAAAAGTGTGCACTGAGAATTTACATTTGCTTTCATTTCATTTCTGGCTGTGCTCCTAACTATGTCCAGCACATTCTTGAATAGAGGAATGTAGCCTAATTTTATTCTTTGATTCATTAGATTTGTGCAGAAGCGGAAATCTGCACAAGCAAAGAACTTCTAAAATGCCTATACCAGATATTATACAGCGATCTCTGAAAAGTGTGTGCTGAGAGGTTACAAATGCTTTCGTTTCTTTTCAAGCCCTGCTCAGTACTTTCTCTCTTTCTTTCTTTCCCTCAAATTTGCACAAAAACTGCACAAGCAAATTTGCAATTGCCCAACAGTGTGCTTTTACATACTTCCCGGGAGCATTTTTTTAAAGATGAGCAAACAGCTATCTGCATGCATGCATGCCCTGTCAGTACTTAATCAGCATGATAGAATAAACAAATTATAAGGAGGAGACAAACACAAAAGGGAACGCCTACTGCTATGAATGGGATAGACTGTAGTTTGTCCTTATATACAAATTCAAATATGTGTGGGGTGCATGCCCCCAGTCTAATTCAAATGGAGAAAAAGTGGATTAACAGATAAATACTCTTTCTTTCACCTGCAAAAGTAGTTCCTCTCTGTTTTCTTGACCTCTCTTCTTAGCTAAAACAGAAGGTAATGACATGCCCACAAATTCCAGTTATTGATTGAAAACCACAGAGTTACTCTCCTGTAGCTACAAATGCATGCATGATTGTTATGTATTACAGGGAGGCCAGCAATCAAAGAGTACTCGGGTTTTTTTAAAAAAATCATTAAAAACCTTTATCCTTTCTATTAATTCTTAAGATGTCTAATGTTGCAAAGAAGTGAGGTTGGCCTTTGGAATAAATTGACCAAGCTTTTCTCCCCTTTCCTGTCCTTATTTTTTTCACTTTTGAAGAAATAAGGACTTGGTAAGATAAAAATAAATCAAGCTGCAGCTGATTTTGTGAGCGGATGGACTCTACCTGTTTCTTTTAGATACAGTGGTACCTCGGGTTAAGAACTTAATTCGTTCTGGAGGTCCGTTCTTAACATGAAACTGTTCTTAACCTGAGGTACCACTTTAGCTAATGGGGCCTCCCGCTGCTGCCACCGCGCAATTTCTGTTCTCATCCTGAAGCAAAGTTCTTAACCCAAGGTACTATTTCTGGGTTAGTGGAGTCTGTAACCTGAAGCATCTGTAACCCAAGGTACCACTGTATTTTAGCATGTAAAACTGTAGCCATCATCCCCACTCCTATTCTGACATTCTATTTATACCTCACTAGACATGCTGCAAATTTCAAACAGACAAATGAAGTGTTATTAATGAAAACCCCAGAATGAAATCTGTCCAGTAGCCCTGGAAGACGGCTGCTGGGCTAGAAGGATCATTTGCCTTTCGCACAGCTCATTTCACACTGACCTCAACCTCATGTCAGAGGCTGTTAGCTTTTATAAAACCTTTGGTCAGCCTCATCAGGCCCCAGGAACCAAAACTGAAACAAAATTGGAAAAATTAACGTATGTCCCTTCCCCTCCCTCCCTTCCCCACCCCCCAAAATATATATGGTGGGAAATGCAACATTTAAAATCAAAGCTGCATCTATTATTCATGTCTGCTTTCATCAGTCACTCCCTCCTTTACAGAAAGTAGGTGCTCAGACAAAACACCTTTTAATGCAAAACACCTTCTTGCGAATCTGTGCTGCAAACAACTGCCACAAATTCTTTACAAATGTAGTCAACCAGTTTGGTGTTGCAGCTTCTCTTACTATGGGAAGGAACTGCAAACATAGGCTTTATCCTCCAAGCAGGGTCTGATTCCATCAGGCTCACAATCAGATGATTGCTGAGGGTTTGCACAGAGCCAGGCATTGCACTTTGCAAGCCCTGTTTGTCAAAACTGGCAAAAGCACGGTATCTTTGCTCTCAAGGTTTGATTTCAAATCCCATGGGCAAAACATGGCTCATCTGATATCATTGTGATGTTGAGAGCTTGGACAGGTGGGCAACCAGTGGGGCTTGGGGAGATCCAGAGGGCTGGGTCCATTTCCTTTCCTCTACCCCACACATCCCGAAACTCGGCCCTCCAGCTGTTTGGGGACTACAATTCCCATCATCCCTGACCACTGGTCCTGTTAGCTAGGGATGATGGGACTTGTAGTCCTAAAAGATCTGGAAGGCCAAGTTTGGGGATGCCTGCTCTACCCTGTACACTCTGTGCAGAAGACAAGCCAGTCTACCATACTTTTTGTCCAAGTCAAACAAACTGTTTATTATGACTCATGAGACACTTACAGTTTCAAAACATTACCTGCTTCACCTCCTTCACAGATGGTAAGAGATGCTGCACTGAATTTCATTAAACAAGCCATTGGATACTTTCCCTCGTAATAGTTTCCTGGAGTAATTCCATTCAAATCCGTAGTAACCATTGTACTATTTTTATTAATTCTATTTAATTGTATTTGTATCCCACCTTCTTCTCCAAGGAGCTCAGGCTGGTGGACATGGTTCTCCCTCTCCTCAGTTAATCTCCACAACAACCCTGTGAGGTAGGTTTGGCTGAGAGGCAGTTACTGGCCCAAGGTGACCCAGTGAACTTCATAGTCAACTGGGGATTTGAATCCTGGTCTCCCAGGTCCTAGTCTGACACTCCAGTCACTACACCACACTGCCTCTCCTAGTCAGTCAGACTATTTGATAGCCATCCTCTCTTGTCTGCTCATTGTCCTTACTCTTATTCTCTGTAGCACCATTTCTGCCCTTATTACACGAGTACAAAGGCAACCCTGCACTCCTCTGCAGCAAATAATGGAATGCAGAGGAGACTATGTCAGAGAAGACACCCCTTCACTATTCCTCTCCAGGAGGGGGGAGGGAATAATAATTATTCCAAATCCCCAATCAATCTGCAGTGTTCCTTTTTTCTCTCATCTCCTTGGGATGTTCTGAGTGTTACTGGATTTTTCAGCCATAGGATCTACAAGAAGCATTGACGAGGGGAAAACGTAGACCAGTAGCAACACTTTATGTGGTAGTAGCCCATTACAGTGCATTGTACAGCTGTCCACAATCATTGATTTTTCCAGGACGGTGTTAATCACCTCTTAAAATTCATATGCACGAACACAAACCCAGTTAGGGGACATTGATGCTAAGGGGACATCCCTATTCAGCCAACACACATGTACAACCTTCCCCTTTTCTTTACCAGATTTGCTTAAGAAGTGATGTAGGTCCCCCCTTTACTGCATGTATACAAAATTGACAGGTTTTTCTCCTTGCATTTCATAGAGAAACTGCTGACAGGCTCTCCTTCTAGCAATATGAACCGCAGACAAATGAAAGATGAAAGCACTCACTAAAAATCAGTGTCAATGTGTCTTAATCTGGATCTTACACAGTAGTGGTGGGATTTGAACTTTTTAAATTTTTGATGCCCTCTGAATATTATAGGCCAGAAATAATATGAGCATTGTTCAGTTTACATTCCCAGAGTACAGGAAAAGCTATTTGAGGTTGCCTTTCCTTCCACAAAGATACAGAAGGTTTAGTTTATTAAAGGGTAAGAAATTTTATATTTAAGAGAAATGAAACCATTCCTTCACTAGCCTCAAAAATGTGCCTGATGTGGAAGATTTGATGTAGTCACATTTAAACAGCATTAATTTTATTTATCCATTTATTATTTTAATATTTATAAACCCAGTTTTGTAAAAATACAACAGGGCCATGTACACCATACAAAAGTTACAGCAATGATAAAAACATCAATAAAACATCAGTTTAAAACAACATAAATACTGGTTGGTTAAAAAATAAAAATCTGCACATTTCAAAAGCCTGTCCAAACGACATTTTTAGGTGATGTCTAAAAGAAGACAGGGATGATTCCTGCCAAATCCCTACTGGCTGAGATTTCCACAGGGCAGGGTCTGCCGCACTAAAAGTTTGGTCCTTAGTAGAGGCCGATCAAACCTCAGGGGTGTGTGGAAACACAATAAATGGCCTGTCCGAGGATCTCAGTGACTGAGGTGGCGCATAAGGTGCCAGGTGGTCTTTAAGGTACTTTGGGCCCCAAGTTATTTTGGGCCTTGTGGTTTACAGAAAAACCTTGAACCCTGCCCATCAGCAGCAAATTGGCAATCATAAAATCACAGAATTGTAGAGCTGGACAGGAACACAAGGGTCATGTACTCCAACCCACTGCAATGAAGGAATCTTTTCGTCCAACATGGGGCTTGAACCCACAACCACAAAATTAAGAGTCTCATGCTGTACTGACAGATGGATCTATCCATGCAGATCCCTCAGCAGAGGTGAAACATGTCGCAAGTGGCCTGTTGCTGTGAGTACCGTAGTTGCTGCTTTCTGTGCTAGCTTCATCTTCTGGACCCAGATACAAGGGCAGCCACTCATAAGCTGTTTTACAGTAATCACAGTTTCAGTTGACCAGTGCATGGACCACTATGGTCAGGCTACTGTGGTCCAGGAATGATAACAGCTGCTGCACCAGCCAGATCTGGTAAAAAGCAGTCCTAGCCACAGAGGTCACTTGGGCCTCTAGGGCCAGAGTGGACCAAGGAGTACCCCAAGACAGCAGACTTACTCTTTCAGAGGGAGTGCTGCTCTTTCCACTACAGGCAATTAGTCTATCTCCCAAGAATGGGAATCATCCACTCTGTCTTACCAGGATTCAAGCTCAGTTTCTTGGTCCTCATTCAGGTACCTGTTCCAGGGCTTGCACAGCCACTCCTGACTCAGATGTAATGGAGAACGAGAGTTGGCATCATCAGTGTATTGGTGACACTTCAGAACTATTAACACCCTCTCCCAACTGCTTTCATATATATGTTTGAACAGCACTGGAGAAAGGAAAGTCCCACTCTCCCAAAACTACTTTTAAAGCATTACCTTGTCTTTACCCAGTTTCAGATGGCTTACATAAAATTAAAACAAATACTTCGATAAAAATAGCTTCATCAACAGACCAACCATCAAGACCAACCACAGAACAATGGAAAACAATGGAAAATCAACAGTATCTAAGATCAGTAATCAAAAGCGTTCTAGAAAAGAAAGGAACACTTCAGAGCTTTGGGGCAGCTGACCTGATTTAGCAGAGCAAATTTTATTTATTTATTTTCTATTCTTGCATTCCACTTTTTGTCAAACATGATCTTAGTAACACAAGCCCTAGAAGAGCATAGACCAGAGGCAGTGGTGGAGCCATAGCCCTTTCTGTATACCAGAAGACTAAACAAGTAGACAATCTTCAAGCTGTTGACAACCTGAATAAACTGGCAATGCAAAAACACATTTTTCAATGTGACGTGTGGCAAAATTGGCCTTAAACTAATGTCTTAAGAAAATTACTTGAGATCAGTTAAGTGATATATGTCATGAATAAGAACAATGGAGGACAGAATTGATGTAAGTGTGCCCTCAAAGTCATGAATAGCACCAGTGTGGTGCTATATGAAACTATACATCCCAGTCATTCATAAATTCATGAAATTAATTTTCTGCATTACCAATGAATATGTTGTGTGCAGAGAGCATTCTTCAGCACCAACAGGGGAGCCACTCTTTTGCAGAAGTCCATGTGTGCACTTGAGTCCTTGTGCCATGGTGACAGACAAAATAATTATTTAGACATCTTATTATAAGGCTGTTTCATACAATAAGCTTTGATACTTGTATACTATGCAGAACTAAACAATGCATGCAAGTCACATCAGCGGTGAAGGCTGCACATAAGTCTACAAGTATTACAAGTCTAATTTGCTATCAGTATTTATGCTGTTCTATTCATGTGTGCTGATAAAGACTAAGAGAGCACAGATACACAATCTATGGCCTGATAGCAATGTCCATCCTGAAAAGGCCATTTCCCTGAATCTTAGCCACTGACTCTTCTGGGTGAAAGTAAAGCTTTCCTTGGAAAAGACTGGTGCGTGTTGCCTATTCCTCACTTGATGCCACCACATTATGTCCAATATCTTACTTCTGTTAGGTAGATTGATTTATTGCTCAGATAAGCCTGAGGTCCGGCACGCTTCCCCATCGCGGGCCTCTGCATTCCAAAATCCGATACTTCTGAGCATAGCAGAGTTGAGATCAACAGCGGCTAGAGGAAGCTGCAAAAAAACTCCAGTGCCTTCTTCAGTGTGCTTAAATAAAGTCCACACAGGATCTTAGCAGCTAAAAGCAGTTTTATTTACAGGAGGCTATCCATTATCTATCACAGCGAACAGCATCGCGAAAACACGTCCTCTCTCCTCAAAAGCGAAAGTAGAGAGAAAGAACAAAGACTTGAGTCTCTCGGAACTGACGTAGAAGTTCCCCCCTCCCACTAGTAGGCAGAGCGTACACTCTGAGCTGTTTAACCCTGTAAGCTCAGGTTCTCCTCACAACTTCCACATGCTATTCTTAAAATCTGTTACATCTGAAAGTTTTCCATGCCTCAACCTCTATCCAAGAGTAATATTCATTTAGAGAAAACAAATCTGTTCACATTTTTTATGCAATGCAAACATATATTTAATTTCTGGAAAAATGTTTTTGATTTAGGTTTTAGGACCATTTCAGCTGAAAAGTTATTAATCCTGAGTGTATGGTTAAGTACCACTTGAACAAACTGCACTTTCAGTATGAGACACGGAGCTTGTCTAAAAAGCTACAGTTGAAGTTGTCCCATCTTCCCAGGTTCTACTTACAGCTCCTTCATGTTTCCCAAAAGACCTGTACTTCCCACAAATGAACCCATTTTGACTTCCTTTTCTGAGTTTCCTCCCTCTACCACCCTTTTAGACCTCTCTCCTTTCTACAGCAAGATGCTGGCATCTACTGCTCTCCTAATAGCGACCTTTTTCATTTCTCAGCTTCAGCAGAAGTCTAGCAGCTTTCTGAAACCGTGACAGCATAGACAAAGTGTCAACTACCAGCCAAATAGATTTCTCACCCCAGTTAGATAAAGGCACCAGTTTGGGCCATCAAATATTAAGGCTAAACCGGTCAATCATCAGCAATATAAACACAGGAAAAGTGAGGGAGGGGTTGACCATATATTAGGAACTCATTTATCCAAATGTAAGACAGATCTTGAGGATGGCAGCTATACTGGAAGAGACACACCTTTGGGGTCTGCAAGGCTTTGAGGATGCCTGGTTTCCCATGGACATTTGGTCCATTTGGTCAACCAATGTGAGAACAGGACACTGGCCTGATCCAGAAGGCTCTCCTGATGTTCTGATGAGTAGGCATTACAACTGCAGTGAGATGGGCAGTGCAAATTTTTTCCCTGTTACTTTAAGGTATAATATCATTGCAGCTGGAAATAATTTGCATCTATTTTTATACAGAAAGGGTTTACTCCATATTTGTGTCTTCTAGAAAACACACACAAAAGAACCCCTCCCTTGGTTCACACATCTATCCATTCATCTGCTGGAAAGAGTCAAACACATTCCGGATCACCTATTAAAATCTAATGGAGTCTTCTAAAAATAGCCCTTTCCTTGAGGCATTTCATTAGTAGCAGCTGGAAGATTAAAACAATATACTTTACAACTGGTTCTGAACTTTTATTAAGACTTAAATGTCTGATCTACTATTTATAGCTACACATATTCCAACAGTAGTCTTATGGACTCATTATATTGTCTTTAAAAAAACCTGTTTCCAAACAGAGGTCATCCTTTCAATAATCATTTTAAAGGCAAACGTAAGATCTTAGCCTCTTGCTGAAGTCTTATACTTAAAAAGAATATTGCAGTAGTATCTATGAATAGCTAAAAATTTATGGAATCTCTCATACTTTATCTAAAAATATCACACACTTCATTTCTGTTTGGACTGACTAAAAAGCAGAGGCTATTGTAACATGCAAGATTTAACAAGAGATACAGGCAGCATAAGACAAAAAAACAAGGTCTTCATTTTTCCATCACTTGATCCAAGATAAAAATAGAACACACTAAAATTAAATTAGTCTATGCTCCTTTATCTGGTCTTAATGTTTAAAGTATTTCCCTCAATGGGTCTAAATAGGCCAGAAAGCCAATATTTTTGTCCTCCCCTCTAGCGTTTTTTCATAGGCAATATATTATTTGACAACAGTGGACAAAATGGAACTCGAGCCAAAGAATATATTGCCTTTTAAAAAGTGTTAGAATTTTAAGACTTTCTTCCAAATTAGTATAAAGAGTTTCAACAGGAGGCCAAAGTGTTTTTCAGGTCATTTTGAGAATTCTAAATATAGCAACAGTTGCTGGTCAACTGGAAGTCATTATCAGAGTTCTATGTACAGCAACATTTGGTGAAAACAAGATGAAAGTGGGTGTTTAGGCTCTGGAAATATGTAAATTTACTACGGTAAGTGCTTTTGTCAGAGCTGCTTGAGACAACGGCTGGGTTCAGACATAACTAAACTATAGTTGGTTTAGCTTAACTCAAGTTTGGTTTTATATCCAATACTATCACACACAAAAACCCACTAATTGTTTTTTTGTTTTGCACCAACAAACCACAATCTGAAACCATGGATTGAAGTTGGCTTGAAAAACTCTGCTTGGTTTGTATCAGTATCCGGGCTCTGTATCATGGCTCACTCCTGGTTGACGTGTCACTCTGTCCTTACCACTTACCCAGCCACAGAGACACAAGGGAAGAGAGGCTTGAAAATGAAATGATCCAGCCACCTAAGAAGTTCTCACTGGTACTTCCATAGTCTTCCCTATCCTTCCTTTTGCTGCCTGGCAACAGCTTCTTTTCTAGATCTACACTGGCCTCCAGCTACTTAGCTCTGCAGGAGTAGCCTTGTGACAAAAGCAAAAAAAATTAAGGGATCATGGGTGCTTTTACCTATAACAATGACTATGTTAAATGCACACTTTCACTCTTAGCAAACTACATGAACAGTTCAACCAGTGCAATTACGCGGTTTGATCACTAAATTGTTTCTGCAACAACTTGCCCTTTCTATCCCACAAGACCCAGGTTATCGCTAACACCTGTTCTTCTGCTTAATATCTAGTAAAATTTTGGCCCTGAAAAAAACCACATCCATCTGCCTTTAATAAAAGAGCAGTCACAGCTGGAAGGACTTGGGTTCAGGAGGTTTTAAAAGAAAGAGTTAATGAAGAGATGCTTTAGGACTCTGTTTTAAAAACAACAAGGAAGCTTTCCAAGGTGGGAAGTGTTTGTGTGTCCCAACCCATTTATGCAACTTGTCAAAGGCAAGAGAATTGGTATACATGGCTTCAGTATATCAGCTGGGAATTCACATAAAAGGGGTCAGACAAAATGACATTAGGCAATACAAGCCATCACCTGCAAAGGATTCTGAATTTCTTTAGCAAACCATGGTTGAAATAAACAATAACTTTAATGTTCCATTCGAACACAGTACAGGCTGCTTGTGCATCAATGTGACCAATAAATATCTGTGACCAATAGCTATTTTTCTTATTCTTGGCCACCAGAGATTTAAAGGAAGCTTCTCTTAATTAGCTTTTATTAGGTTAATCATTCCAATACAATGGTCTGCTACTTCACAAGAAACATTCTTTTTAAAAAACAAACAAACATTTACTGTTTTCCAAGTTCAAACCGCAGCTTTTAGTATTCCTTAAGCAATGCAATATTTTATTTTGCAATCTGATACAAAATATTTCTCTATTTTGTGAGGCCATTGGTCATACTGAGAGGGGCTGATGAGAATTGTAGTCCAAAACATCTGAAGGGCACCAGGTTGTACAAGCCGCAGTATTGAAAACAAAGCTATCATGCTGTTCCACAGCTCCCTTGCATTGAGCATAGCTCAGTGGTAACGCATATGGTTTGTATGCAGAAAGTTGTGGGTTCAAACCCCAGCATCCCCAGGTCAGACTATGAGAACATCTGTCCGAAACCTTAGAGAGCCACTATTATGTAGCATAGAAAACCCGTGGCCCTCCAAATGATGCTGAACTACAGCTCCCATAATTCTTAACCATTGGTCATGCTGGCTAGAGCTGAAGTACAGCAACACTTGCAGAGCCACAAGTCCCCCATGTGTGATACAGGCACTGCTAAGTTAGATGTACCCATGGCATGACTTGGTATGTTTCTTAATGGGTTTTGTACAAGAAGCTTGACTAGTGGTCTGTCTCCAAAGACTATGCATTTTCTCAAAAGCTTCGTTTATGAAAAATGAACTATTTTTAGCTTCACAAATGCACACGGTGTGAACACACAGCTTTCTATGCTAATGTCAAACAAAATCATGCATGGAAATCAAGTCCTAGCATAATCCTAGAAGTGCTCCCCCAGTAGATAAAATGGCAGATGCACAGCTCATTACAAAGGAAATGTTCAACAACTAATTCAGACAAGCTATTTATGGCAACTCTGCATTCATCTTTTAAAGAACAATGCAAAGGCATACAAATTAGCTTGTGCAATTTGTCAAAGGCTGCAGAGAATCTGGGGCACAGGGCAAAGTAATTTGGGGTTCTCGTTTCAAACTTTTCTACCTGCTGGGATGTTCATTGTGACCCAAGAGAACAGATGTTTACCTTGTTTTCTCTAGCTCTGTTTTATAGAAAACTCCATGCCACTCGTGATTGTTTGAAAGTCACAAGGCTGGTGGAAACACTGGACAATGGAATGGGTGTGTTGCCCATTGTGGGGTACCTCCTGAGGCATCCACCTCACCCTGGCTCATGGATGGGCTGGCTCTGTCCCTGCCCACACACAGATAAAAAAACCAAGATCACTTGGTTAGGTGCAAGCCAATAAACATTCCCAATTTCCCTCCAACTGCAACCTTTGAAAGCAGTTTCCACGTATACCAGGTGAGTGTGTAGTTTTCTGCTATAGAGCAATTTTATACCCAGCAAGTATGGTAGATGTCAGGCAGTCTGTTCACTTGCTTGTCTAGTGAAATTGTCAACAGTCCACAACTTTCACCCTAAAATCCTTCTATCAAGCACCACTCATAATTCTGTAGTAAGAAAGGAATAGTTACAAGAAGCAAAGGGATTAAAAGCATCATATTGTTAGTGTCAGTAAGTCACAAGCTGATTGGCTGTTCTTGCAGTCTATCAATCTTGGGTGGAAGAACGTCAAACCATAAAATCTGTTGCTTGTGAAACTAGTTCCACTTCAAAGGGTCATTCTGCCAGTATATAGCTAGCCTTAAGAAAAATATTATTTTGATTACAATGTCAATATCATAATGGTTCAATTTTTTCCATTCAGTGAGCACTGAAATGAAAAAAGGCTACAGAGTTATTGAGTGTTTTTCTTCTTCAAGATAAGTTTTATAATCAACATATATTTTTTTTAAAAAAGAAGTTGCACGAGGCTCACTGAAAAGTCAATTTGCATATAAACAGTTTGATTAACTAATCTGGAGGAACACAAATTGTGTAAAACACTAATTAACCCTGCTAAATTGGGAACCAGACAGACATGGAAATTTTTTTCATAAAATAAAGTAAAATACATAAATCTCTAAGTCATATTTATTAGGAGGAAATACTGTACACAAAGCACACCAGAACAAGCTACTGGCTCAATAGCCACAATATTAACAACTACACTATCTAAAACAGAAAGCCTGGTTAACATTATTATCACTTGTGTTATAATTCCTTAACTGTATCCTAGCCCTCTTTAGATCAGGGGTGGGGAATCTGTGCCTACCCCCGGGTATTGCTGGACTACAAATCTGTCTGCCTGGGTCCTGCCCGAAAACTCTAACCACTGCACCACACTGGCTCTCATTCCATGTGAAACAAAGAATGCTGGCGATAACATGAAGGTTTATGCACAGTTTCTGAAGGGTGAAGCCATTGTCACTAGAACTAATGGCACTGAATTTATTGCAAAGCAGGTTCACCATCACTCATCTTGTCTTGCATACCAGAAGGGAGCCAAAAAACCTCAGCCCAAGAACAAACAGCATGAAAGGCAAAAAATACTGTCTCTTTGCATGACAGTAAGGTGGTACATTCCACAGAATGTTTCTATTTTTATTGATGAGGAAAAACTGCCAAGAAGGAAGAATTTATCTGCTAAAAAATATTTATATTCATATCCAGTACATGTTTTCTGTAATAGAAAATGGAAAGCCTGGAAATGCAGATAAAGAAGGCATATTGACATAGGCCAAATTCACACATAACGCTAAGTTAATCCAAGGTTTATTCTTGACTAAAGCTTGTAGTTAAGGAGAAAAGAGCTTAACCACAAGCCTGGGGTCAGATGAGCCACATGAGCCAAACTTTGGCTTAATTGCCAAGCCAGGTTGGGTTTCCATAGCAGTGACCAGAGGGGAAATGGCTGCTGGGAGGAGCACAGAAATAAGAAACACCATGGTGCATCTGCAGCAGCAACACTGAGCGCCTTCATCTGCCCCAGCTGCAACGAAACATGAATCTCCTGCTTTAGTCTCCACAACCACAACAAGTACTGCAACCTTCCAACAGCTTGACCTAACCCCCAAAGAAGCACTTCTCCATTGTCTCCTGAGACAGACAGATGCCAACAATACTGACCAAAAAGGACTGGGCAGGGACTAAGTGGGTGCTGGCTCCTCTGTGGTCTGCAGTCTCAGTAAACTGTAGTTTGGCTTTCCAGGTCATGTGAACCAAGGCTGTATATTGTCTTCCTACTTATTTAATTTACATGCAGAATTCATCATGTGAAAGGCTGCACTGGATGAATCCCAAGCCGGAATTAAGATGGCCTGAAGAAATATCAACAACCTCAGATATGCAGATGACACAACTTTGATGGCAGAAAGTGAGGAGGAATTAAAGAACCTCTTAATGAGGGTGAAAGAGGAGAGAACAAAATATGGTCTGAAGCTCAGCATCAAAAAATCTAAGATCATGGCCACTGGCCCCATCACCTCCTGGCAAATAGAAGGGGAAGAAATGGAGACAGTGAGAGATTTTACTTTCTTGGGCTCCATGATCACTGCAGATGGTGACAGCAGTCACGAAATTAAAAGACGCCTGCTTCTTGGGAGAAAAGCAATGACAAACCTAGACAGCATTTTAAAAAGCAGAGACATCACCTTGCCGACAAAGGTCCATACAGTTAAAGCTATGGTTTTCCCAGCAGTGGTGTATGGAAGTGAGAGCTGGACCATAAACAAGGCTGATCGCTGAAGAATTGATGCTTTTGAATTATGGTGCTGGAGGAGACTCTTGAGAGTCCCATGGACTGCAAGAAGATCAAACCTATCCATTCTTAAGGAAATCAACCCTGAGTGCTCACTGGAAGGACAGATCCTGAAGCTGAGGCTCCAATACTTTGGCCACCTCATGAGAAGAGAAGACTCCCTGGAAAAGACTTTGATGTTGGGAAAGATTGAGGGCACAAGAAGAAGGGGACGACAGAGGACAAGATGGTTGGACAGTGTTCTCGAAGCTACTAACATGAGTTTGCCCAAACTGCAGGAGGCAGTGGAAGACAGGAGTGCCTGGCATGCTCTGGTCCATGGGGTCATGAAGAGTTGGACACGGCTAAATGACTAAACAACGACAAATTTCTAGTGAAATAGATAAGTGCTTATCTGGATAGTGGTTATCTAGTGAAATAGATAAGTCTATTTCTGTGAAGCCTGAATTCCTTGAGCACCCCTACGTTATCGAAGGAATTGTTGGTGAAAATGTGTTTATAGATGCGCCATTCTGCAGGAGTCTTAGTACAGAAATCTCCTATGAGAAGAAGCTCAGTTGTGAAAGAAGCATTCGCTTAACAGAAGGCTGCAAGCATTCAAGCACTGGATGCAGCTTTTGCTCTGAGCAAGGAGACATTAAATGTGTTGACAGATGCTGATTTCCAGTTCCTGAAACATATTCTTGAAGGAAAGGCTGGTGCTCCAGATTTATTGAAACCACCCTTTATATGCTTGCTTGCAGGGCTTTATTCAAGGAGAGGAAAGGATAAGATAACCAAAAAGATAGTTAAATCATTCTCTTGTTATATGTTATATTCAGGTACTACTGAGAGTCTGAATCCAGCAAAACATCTTTAGCTCAGGATGGCTATAAATGGCATGATTAGAAGGCCACTGATGTTCTAAACTAGGAACGGGGTGTTAGGATATTTCCGTTCCACCTTAAAAGGGAGCAGGCTTTGTGAGTCAGAGTCTGCGTATTTCCTGTTCACAGGATGTTTATGTTTTCTGTTGCTTTCGTTTTCTCTCTGGTGTTGCAGACACTAAAGCAGTCGGTCATGTTTTTCTGTGTTCTGATCAACGCTGAATAAACTTGTAAATAATGCTCTCCTGGGTGCAACTTTTGCTGTGCATTATCTGCTGATAGAGCGTGCATGAGTCTGGAATGTGGCAAGATATTTTCTAGAAACTCATGTCGCTGCGTGCCTACGGGAGGTCGATGGATCGTCCGGCAGACGGCTTGGGGGCCTTGATGGACTTTATCTCCCTGGCAGTATCCCAACAACAGGTTTCGGGCCCAGATTCACAGCACTTACAGGAGAGTAAGACTGCGACAGACTGCTGA